GATCTGTCGGCGCAATAGCGCTCGATCTCGTGCCACGCGTTCACAGCAAATACTGACCACAACGGGTGCGGACCGACAGGCGTGCGAATTGCGTGACAAATGGCCAGACACTGGCGTCGATCGCACAGACCATCCATATATAGGCACATGAGTTCGCCCAGAGATGCGCCTAAATAGCCGTCCGGAGTAACCCCTATAGCTTTCAGTGTGTCGACGAATGCCAAGTGATGTACAACTGTAGCAATAGAGTAGCGATTAATGTATTGCTTATCTACTGCTGTCTTAAAATTCATTTTATCGGTTAAACACTCGATGGCGTCAACGCCCAGAGGGGACAGGAGTTGTGCCGATGTTTGCACCGACGCCTTAAACGCGGGGATTGTCATCAATGCCGGCACTGAAAGTGAACGTTTAGTGGCGTCTGGATTATCACCTGAAATGCATTATTAATACTGAATTAATATTTAAATGAAATAAAAACGAAAAATGTTTTACCGGTAAACAAAAACCAAATGATGGGTTTGTTTTGTGCCGATTGCTGTGTAATTTGTCTCGAGATCTGTTGAAATCGGTTGCCGTCTGTAGTCCTCGTGAATACAGCGAATCCGCGCCACAACTCGTCGTCCACTCTATGTGAGCCATTCGTACGGCTCTTTCCTTTGAAGGCTTTGTCCAGAAGTGTCCGAAACTCGTCGTCGGCTTTCCGGTCGCCGCCGAACCCGAAGTCCAATATATTTTGGACAATACGTTGCGTACGACCGGAGACCACAACCAGTCGTGACTGTTGTTGGGGTTGTCGTCCACTTTGAACACCGCTCTCCTGTGCCTCCGGTTCTGGGCTTTCGTACAAATCTAATAATATTCGCGTTATTCATTTTTAATACACACTTATCTAACCATTTGTGATAATTATCACAATATGAATATATCATAATAGAAATATATTTTCTAATTACAGATTGTATTATAAAGGTAATTTGTATTGGTATATTTAATGTCGGATTAACTACTTGTTAGCGTGCAGCTAGAAATTTGAAACTAGTTTTTGGTTTACATCCCTAAACAACAGGAACCAAATTTTTACTAAAATTCAATGATTATTTTATTACAATATACAGTATTTGTAACTAACTTTACAATTCTGTATAAAATAATTTGGTTGATGGGATCGTTCGGCTATATCTCCTCTTCTTCATATGGGATTTAATGTGTGACTCCAGCTTAAGTCTATGGCTATACTGAAACATGGGTAATGCTATGGGACTATTCTATGGGACTGATTTTATGGACAATGCTAAGTTTTTATTTAAAAGGCTTTATAATAAATTTTTATAAGATTGCAGCTTAAGTCTGTGACATAGGTGTACCAAGGGTAATCTTAAGTCTATAAGAATAATACTAAAAAGTCTATGGATAATGCTAAGTCTAAGGATACCATAAGTTTATGGATACTAAAAAGTCATATTTTAAGTCTATGGATAATGCTAATTCTATGGGAGTTACTATAAAAATAATTTTTACGTTTGTGAAAATAATTATTTGCCAAAATGAAGGGAAAATAAATGAAATAAAAATTTAACCTGTGTCAATTATTGCCGCGTATGAAACATTTGTTAGTATTCTGTCCATCGGTTCCGTGGAATCAATGTTAACGCTATTGTCTTCTGTGTTGTGATCCATATATTAATCGCCAATTCCTGCATTAGATGTGTTGAGAAATGTTTTACTCGTACTTATTGTACGTATCGGTACAGACATTGAGGACAAACAAGCAAATAAAGAACAGGCACTTTTTGTTTTAACAATGATAAATCAATATATTTTATTTCTTTCATTTTTTATAAGCGAAACTTATTAATCATCATTGTACGCAAAATTACATTTTAAAAGTATGGGAACTTTAATGCAAACTTATATAATGTACACTTATAAAAATAAACAAATGCACTTTCCAAAAACTTGCAAAACACCAGTTTTGTAGAAACAATTATTCAATATTCTCTACAATTCTGCTGTTTAAATACTGTATTTTAAACTAGCATAGTCATTTGATCCTAGTTGCAAAGGAATTTTTTAAATATTGAAACGTTAAAGCGTTAAGGTAACTATTATTTTTCAAGAAACATAATATAATTGCTTTTATTCAATAGAAAATGTGCGCCGATTTGAGGGCACTTATCATATCGATGCCCAGCGTTGGACACATGAACCCGTGTCTGGCCATCGCTCAGCAACTGTTAGCCAGCGGTCTCTACCCGCGAGTGATGTTCGCCATAAGCAGGCGATGGTTGGGTAGACTTAGTCAGTACAGCGCCGGCATAGAGGAGGTCGTAGTGGACGACGAGTTGGACGACGAGACGGCCGACCAAATGGTACCCAAATGGCGCGAAGCGACCGCAGCCGGCAAACCGGCCACCGCTAGGGCCCGGCTGTTGGCCTTTGCCACCCGTTTACGGCTCGCAAAAGCCCAGAGACTCGACGCAAAGGTCGGTGCGTTGATAGAGCGCGTGCGGCCCCATCTCATTGTGTTCGACGCGTTCATTGAGTTGCCCTCGGTCAGATTGGCCCGGGTGCCACTCGTGTGCCTATGGATTGCAGGTTCGCTAACCCTATTCATTGTTAAATGATCATTATAAGCCATTGTATTTTATAAGTGGAACTTTTGCAAATCATAAATAGTATGTTTACATTTATAGATTTATTTTTCAAATTTGCTGCAATTTTTAGGCCCATTATGTATGTTGGATGACGAGAACGTTCCTCCATTCTCTTCAGGTATCTAAAGCTATATTATACATATGGATATATAATTAGGTAGTCAATTAATCTCGCGCACACCATTTTGCCAATTACTTTTGTGGTTTTGGAGGTTAAACTCATTAAATATGCAAATTTTGTAAAAATAAAATAAAATTTTTGCAGATTTTATTCTAGAAAACCTTTAAAGCTTTAAATATAAGAAAACCTTTAAATATAAGCTAAAGTACATGATTTATTTTTATATTATACATTTATTATCCCTTTACAAATTATACATTATACAGGCTGTATAAAACAGTTGGTCACGCATATATGATCCTCTTATATCATTTTTACAAAATTAAATTATCATTTGTAGTTTAAGAGTAATCGGCCAAATGGCGTGCGCGAGATTAATTGACTACCCTTTAGTATGTGTACGATATTTGTACCCATTTTATAACTAATAGTCTATAAACTATTGAATACTGATTCGAACATAACATGTACTCAATTAAAAGGTCTATCGATTACTTGTAACAAACAATTGTGGTCTGACTTTCGGTCGGCTGTGCGACACGAGTCGAGCGGAACATTGCGTGCGTTCGACCAATACTTTCAATCGCGCGGTTGTCAGCCGTTGAGCGACAATACATTCGCCGCCGGAAACCCTATGAATCAACTGAATCTATACTACGTTCCCATCGAACTCGACTACAGCCACAGCCGATCCCTTTCCGGAGACAATTATCATAGAGTCGATCACTTGATGCCCGCAGACACCGGAGTGGAGGCCAATCACTTCCAACTACCGGCCCATTGGGGGCCAACATCTGGCGAACCGACGGCTAAACTAATATACCTGTCGATGGGAACGCCTGTGTCGGCCGACGTCCACAATATGCGCCGATTGGTAGACATATTGGCCAAAGTGGCGCCCAATCGGGTGGTGGTGTCGATGGGCGCCAATCACAGAGACTATACTCTGGCGGCCAATATGTGGGGCGCGGAGTGGTTGCCACAGAGACGTGTCCTACCGCTGGTGGATGTGGTCATATCGCATGGCGGCCGCAATACAGTGTGCGAGTGTTTCTATCATGGTAAGCCTATGATCGTGATGCCAGTGATGGGCGAACAGTTTGATACGGCCCAGAATATACAAGATCAAGGACTCGGCATACGGCTGGACCCCTACCAGTGCTCGGAGGCCGAGCTGTTGGCGGCCGTCGAGCGCCTGTTGAACGACAAGGAGTTGAAGGAAAAGATGGCAAACATTTCGAAACGAATTCAAGCGAACAATAGTTTGGAAAAATTGCCACAAATTATTGACCGCTATATACAGGGTGTGTCCAAAACATCGTAAAATGCAATCAATTTAGAATGAGTCTAATAGTAATTAGTAATTACTAATTACAAACATTAAGTTATAAATATGTCTAACTGAAAATAAATTTAATTCAAAAGTTATATATTTATTAAACTTTATTTCATAGCTTCAGAAACAATCAGTTACATTATAATCTATGGCAAAAATAAATTAAAACTTTCCGTAAAACAAATTTATTTGGCTTTCCAAAATTTTTAAATTTTTAAATTGACAAAAACTTTTCTAAGTCGAATAACTCAAAAATTATTTGAAATAATTATTAATTACAATAATTACAATTATTGTTAAATTCTAAATAAGATTAAAGTATGATCGGTGAATGGGTGACCGATAGACGGGTGACTGGAATAAAAGTAATTATTAAAAGTTAGCGGACTATCAATGATATTCAAACGCGTTTTGAATACAAAACAAGTTTATTGATTAAAAGCCGTTCAAAAATAATATATAAATCGGCGGACAGTCGACGACTGACCACAAATACAATTACAAAGTTATATACAATAAGCAATACGACTATTACGACAACTGAATACGACCTGAAGGTCCCTAAAGGGTAGCCCAACAATCCTATAAACCACATTATTCATATATGAATTGTGGTTAATAGCATTTTAGGGCATTATGTCTGATTGTTATCTAAATTATAATAATAAAAAATAAATTTGTTTTGTTATAAAATATTTTAAGCAGTGTTTTACAAGCAATTTATATAACCATTGAATGAAATATGTTTTCAATTGATATATCATAAATATTTAGTGATATTAAATAAATATACCAAAAATGAGATACTATTCACTGGAAATATAGAATCTAAATGTTTTATAAATTCATTGTGTAATCAATTTAAAGACAATAACGAAACAATTTATTTCATTTCAAGCGTAATTTCGTAGGGCTTAGGAGTGCTCAGGAATGGTATGTTTGGGTCGGCCTCCAAATCTGCGGACCCGTCGCCCGTCTGTAACGCAAACACACACTCATTGGTCGACTTCAAGAGACGCACTGTTATGAAGAACAGGTCCGCGAGCGCCAGCTTTTCGCCAAAACATATACGACGGCCGATACCGAAGGGCGTGAACCCCGGGATGTTTGACCCGAACTTACCATCACTTGTGAGAAACCTCTTTGGGTCGAACACATCGGGATTTGGCCATAGGTTTGGATCATGAGTTACTGATACAAGATTTCCAAAAACAAATGTTCCCTCTTTTATGTGATATTTATCTAAATAAAAAAATTATTTATTAAAACAAGCTCGTATAAACTTTATAGTAAAAATGAAATAGATAATTACCAAGTTGCATATCAGCCATGGCCACGTGTGGCAGACCAAATGGTGTAATCCCTCGATAACGCAATGCTTCAGCGATGAAAGCGTTAACAAAATGGCATTCATTTCTGTCCTCATGTGTGGCCACTCTATCGCCGATAACAGACTCGATCTCATCCCTCATCTGAATCTGCATTTCCCTATTGTTTGCCATCAATAGTAAAATCCATCGCATAGTATATTGTGTATTATCGGTACCGGCTTTATATATAATACATTATATTAAAAATATATTGTTTGAGTAAATATTTTAATTTTCAAACCAAAAAATAGGTCCAAAATAACGAGTGAAAGATTTTCATCGGTTAAATGCGAGGCGTTTTCCTTTGATTCTTGAATGGCCTCCTCTTTAGCCTCAATGAGAGCGTCACAGAAGTCATTGACGACTCCCGAGGAATGGGTCTTCAGGTGAGCCATATATTGCTGTCGCGAAAATACAGCCAAACCTCTCATTGTTTGTATATTTTTTGCAAATACTTTTGCGTATTTTGGGTACAATTTGAGGACAGGTATGCGATCGCAAATTACCAGTGCGTTAGAGTTGGCTTTGATGTACTCAAATGCTTGCTCTAAATACTTGAGCTCTTTGTCTTCAAACTCGTATCTAATTTGTATTGATAAAAATGATTATTTATTAAACATTATTTAACACAACATTTGTAACTATTTTTTGCATAAAGACATACCGTTTGCCGAAAGCGGACGAAGCGATTATATTGAGAACATAGGCGTAAATAAAACTCTTGGGATTAAATGGTGTCCCAATCGGGTGTGTCTTCTTCATGATCTGTACGGTCTCGTCGACGATATCGTCCACCAAATCAGACAACTTCTCACTTACGACCAGTTTTCTAATCATAATGTAATGTATAGTAAAATTGTGAGTAATTATAATAACGATATATTCGCTATTCATTTGCATACCTGACCGCCGAGTGTGCGACACGTCTAAGACTGGCCCAAACCGGGCCGTAGTCTGTGAAGGCGACGTTACTGCCCGACGGCGGCAGCGCTTGTCTGAATGCTTTTGGTCTTCCCATCAATTCGTTGTTTTTTGAATTAAACGCTGTTTTAATTAAATTCAAACCCGCGATCACAACCATTGGCGTCCCACCAATCCATACGGTAAACACCCGGCCATAGGTTTTGTGCAATTCATTGATTGTCACGAATTGATTAACTTTTGTATTTCTAAAAACTAGTATACAAAACAAATTTAAAGCAATATTTATTTAAATAATTACTAAAATAAACGATTGTATACTTACGCAACGCATTGCCCACAACTGGGAGTGGAAACGGACCCCGGGGTAGGGAAAACACTTTCACATAGAATCTCACTAAATATACTGCTATTAAACCGATGGCGACTCTAATCAACCAATTTATAATGTTTTCAAACATTTTTATTGTTTTAAATTATTTTTAAAAGTTTAATTGTAGATATTATGAATATTAAATAAACACCAGTTTTGTAGAAACAATTATTCAATATTCTATACAATTCTGTTGTTTAAATACTGTATTTTAAACTAGCATTGTCATTTGATGGCCTAGTTGCATGGTCTAGTTGCAAAGGTATTTATTAAATATTGCAACGTAATGTCGCATTACATTATGAAGCATATTATCTATAAGATATTAAGAATAAATGTAATTATGACTAGATTATAAAATATTAGTTTTTAGAATGAACAAATTATGAAGCATATTCATTTTAATAATAACGGTGTTAAAGTATAGCAATGTACTGTTTATTTTCATAGTGTGTATATAAATGTTTTTATAACGTACTGTTAACTCTTATACATGTATCTTGAACTCATGTATCTTGGATTTTGACTAAAACAAATCAGACAGTGATTAAATTAAGAAGTTGTCAAATATAGTTACTGGAATAGACAGAATACAGGATAACAGTTCCTAAAACTGCATTACCTTTTTGTCTCTTTTACACTAACCTATTGAATTTTAAATAACTTATACAGTATTTCTAAGTTTAAGACACAAAAACAACAAAAATTTTATTAAAATAAACTATATTTTCTCTCTCTCTCTCTCTCTCTCTCTCTCTCTCTCTCTCACGCCTAACAAATAACTTATACACAAAAATAATCAAACATTTATAATACATAACATTCACGACTAGACACCGGATTTTCAAACAACAAAAACGACTGATTATAAAAATTACAAAAAATGTTAAAAATTTACATTTCATAGCAATAACTCAAACAAATATTTTCAAAAACTTAAATCTGATTTATGATGAAAACGGTGCGAAGAAACCCATAATTTTTCGCCAATATTTGTCAGACAACTGATGGCCAGTCCAATGGCCAGAAGGGCGAACCCACCCCTCCAGAGCTCTTCTAGGGTTAACACATGTGAGTATTCAAAGTGGGGTTTCCGGCGAAACAGTGTCTGATTGGTGTGAATCTCATCTCTCATAAAACCGGTGATCATTTGCTGTAATGTTTCTAAGTTTTTGTGGTTTTGATATAAACCGCCCTCGATCGCTCGTTTGAACCTAGGTTAAAAATAAACACATAATTAATTATTAAGATTAAAATTTATTACTAATTAGCCAGATTAATGTGCAATATTAATTAAAATAACAAGTTAACTATAATGAAGCTGCTATTAATTATAATTACACTTATTACATAACACGGATTGTAATTTATGGCACTTATCTATACACTAATCATTAATATATCAAGATAATTTAACACATAATATAGATTTATAAGCATTTAACATAATAAATTAAATGATCACGTTAATTAACAAAAACAAAACAAAAGTACATTAATAACTAAAAAGCAGTATTTTAAACTTACGCCATACTGATCATTTCATGTTTTTTAACACCATGATCGATATGAAAAAACGAATATCTATAGTAAAATTTTTCGGGAAGGGTCACAAACTCCAGTGTCGGGTACATCAGCTGAAGTTTACGTATACGCATGGACTGAGCGAATATCACCGCCCGTCCCATCACAACATCGATCAGCACTTTATGATATTCAGCGCCGGAAAAGTCTATTAAATAATCTTTTGTATTAATACCAAGATTGTCCTCATACTGGGCCATACGTGGGTATAATTGATCATAAATATCTGTTAGACCATGGTTGGGTTGCATTAACTCTCGGAGTGAATTGTTGCCAGCGATGGACACCTCTGTACTATTGACCACATCCGCCAATGTATGAAAATAGGGATCGGATTTAATCACCAAAAACACGTTTAATAGCAAATTAGATATGCATTTGGTTAATATATTAGCCGCTAATATCCAAAATATCATCCAAACGACCAGGCTATAATTTAGATACACTTGCGTGCAATTGATCCGGAGTTTTGTGTATTGCTCGCAACTAAACCATGGTGTGTGGTGAGCGGTTTCAATATCTAGTACACTTTTGCCCACGTGCCGGGTTTGGCGAAACCATTTTAGCCTATTCATATACAGGGCCGATTGTCCCACTAGTGACCTGTATATCTCTATTATAATCTCGGGTATTTCAAAGCCTGATTTGTTTAACACTATCCATATAATTATACACAAAATAAATGATACGAATAGTAATAGCCATACCTTTAATATTACAATTAATTATTAATATCTGTGAGTAATTTTATATTAATTTAGATAACTTACTAGATGGTGAAATATATTGACAATTAGAAAGTAGCCCGATAATCTCATGGGGTTCATTGAAGTTACTATCTCTGTAAAGTAATCACAACTGACCGGCACCATTGTATTATATTTTAAATCCTCTGGGTAAAATGTTGACGGATTTGTTACTACTGTTAATACATTTCTCTAGTAAAACAATTATAAATTTTTTTATATTAATTAAACATGTTTAAATAAATATAATTAATTTGCTTACATCAAACGCAGGCACTCTATGCTTGCTATAATTAAGGCCCAGATTGAGCTGGCACATCATATACTCGGCAATGTCCAAGTAAAATGTTCTCATCACCCACTAAATTAAACATGGTTATAAAAAAGATATTTATTAATCCCTTATAAAAAGTATAATAACCATTATAAATACACAATTTTAAAACTTACAATGCGCAACTTATTTCTAAACTCAATTACATGGGTCACATTTGTATCGGGGTGACACTTGGCTATTTCACCAAACTTAATTGGTCTATGTTTGTATAATTTAAGTATAATAGCGTCAACACTATTTTCAATCAACATTATATCAAGAATATAAATATTTCGCATATGAATTGAAAGACACTATAAAATACACTACGAAATAAACTAAAAACAAATTTAATTAAGGACAGTATAACAGATACAGTATTTATATCATTTAATAATAGTTAATTTATTTTGTTATTAAACAATACATACTTGTATTGATTTGTAATTAGGTTTCTTACATGTTTACGGTATATGGGCAAAATAAAATGATTATTTATCATGATGGATTTTAAAAGGAAATGTACCGGTTGCATGTACATATCATGAGGGCAATGGAAACTTTGAAAATGAATTAATAGTAAAATAATAAATCTAGCGTAGATTATAATTAGCATAAATAATATTAATGATTATATTAATCAAATCATAGTATATACCACTATATTAATGGATTTAAATATTGATCATATTTAATTAATTCATTTAGTAAAATGATTGTAATAAAAAAATGTTCATAGTATATAATTACTTTGGAAATAATTATAATTATATGATAGCACTAGTTTAGCACTAAACATGTGTTTTCTTCTCATTGATCAAACAAAATCAATACATATTTTGTGATACATAATATATTTTACCATAAATAGTAAATTAAATGTCACCGGGCAGATGTAAATTGGATTATAAGGTTGCACTCATACGTGCATTTGTACATATTGGGAAATCTTTGTTCAACTTTTAACCACAATTCATTTATAAAAAATGAGGTTTATAAGATTGCTCGGACGCCCCCCCCCCTTTTATTTTTTTCACAAAATGTTCACAATCAAAAATAAAAGCATTCATTTTCCAATTCATAATTAAACATCCCTTAATAAAACAAACACTAATATTTTTATCCACAATTCATATAAAAATAATGTTGTTTATAGTATTGTTTGGCCCCCCTATTCATGTTTAAAAAGTTTTACTATGAGTTTTAAAACCTTTCGCAAAATGTTTAAAAACGTGGTAAATGTATTGTAATTACAAAAATGTTAGAAAATTGAAAACACGTGTTGTTTGTTATGTTTGTTTTGATTTATTGTGTGTTTTGTTTACACATTTAGTAATAATTGTTGTTATAATGAGTGGTAATAAAGGGTTTACTATTAAATCAATTGATTTGAAACACAATTATAATAAGAGTTTTAATAATAACAATAAATCGTTGAAACAAAAGGGTTTTGTCGTCACAAATGTTATCAAACAAATCAATGTTTTAAATGATTTGAAAAATAGTAATTTAAATGTGATTTCAGTCAATAATAATAACATTAAAACTATTCTTAATTGCAATGAAAATAATTCAATGAATTGTGTGTTAAATACGAGTGAAATGAATGGCAAACGAGTGTCAAGTGATAAATGTGTGCAAAGTATTGAAACAATTGATATTTCAAACGTTAATAATAGTTATAATAAAAGTAATAATACTAGTAATAAAGTTATTGTGAATTCAGTGAATAATAATAATAGTGTTAACAATAAATGTCTTATAAGTGACTCTCCGTTACATCTATTGATTCCGTATCCAAAGGATGGACCAAAAGAGAAAAAATTAATAAAAGACAAAAACATTAAAGTAATTAAAAACAGATTTGATTCGCAAGAGATTGAAATTTTACGAAACAATTGGCAAACATTTTGCGATGAATTCAAATGCGATAAAGAAATGAAAACACGTTTATTAGGGTTTTTCGCCAGAAGTGATAAATACAGTAAAAGTGAGCAAAAATTGTTTCGCGATTTCAAAAGACGTGAAAAGTTTTACCTGAGATTAGGCTATGGTTTGCCTAACCGTACAATTAGACACATCTATACGACGGCGAGAGTTAAAGTAAATCCATTGAAACGGATGAAGGATTTGACCACAAATGAGAGGAAGAATATAATGACATTGTATTCAATGTTTGGCAACAAATGGGCTAAAATTGCACAAAGGTTTTGGTGTAACCCTCGCGCTGTTCAGCAATATATTGTATTAAATTACAACAGTTGTGGACAACCCTATGATAGGGGAGACTGGACTCCCGATGAAGACTTGCGGATCATTAATGGTATAAAATCGGTGTTAAATACGGATGACTTAACACAACATGTGTTTACCAAAAATATCAAATATAAAGAAGTGAGAGATTCAATGCGATTGAATAGAAGTGAAAACGATACCAGAAAGCGTTGGAATCGCTGTCTTCGGTGGAAAGTTGCAAACTTTGATCAATTGGCGGACAAGTGGTCACTCAAAGACACTTCAAAATTGATTTATTGTTTATTTAAGTGTAATTTCGACGACGAGTTGTCAATCGATTGGGATTTAATTAAAGAGAAGTTTGAAAATATCTCTTCACTTAATAATTTGATGAAAAACTGGCGCATAATTAAGACAACTGTTCCCGAGTTTGAGACCAAACCATACAAACAGATCATTAGTTTTCTCTTCGATAACATTGTCTCACAATTTCTCAAAACTGATGAAGACTTACGAGAATTGGAGGACTTTTTCCAGAATTAATACTTTTTGAAAATTTATAATTTATTGTATTGAATACTATTTAATCAAAATTTATAAACTCATTGTAAACACAAATTTAACTTTTATTTTTTT